TCCTGGGTGTGTTTTTTATTCTGGTAGCCTTTTATCCTTTGCACCCTTTCCTTGGGCTCTAACCCAGAGAAGTGAAACCGTCAAGTTCCCAAGGATGTAGGTACAAACACGCCCTTTGTAGCATTCAGCACAGGTCATACAAGTGGAAACCACTGAATGCTCATCAACAGAGGGATGGCTGGGTGCACTGGGGAGCACCATGCAGCCATTTAAAAGAATGAGTTGGATGCATAACTATTGAGCTGCAGAGGTTTCCAAGAGATCTATCTCTTGAGTGAGAAAAGCAAGCTTCCGGAAAATGTATACAGTGCAGCACAACTCTTTTTTTAAACAATCTTTTTTGTCTATGAAATATAAGGTCCATCCCCCTCACCCATACCCTCTGGGGAACAACAGTGAGAGGAACTTTGATCAAGAAGCTAACTTGTTCTGCAGTGAGAAAAACCTGAAGTCATTTTCAAAGTCCACCATTTCTTACTTCTTTTCAGTCGGGTCAGGTTTCTAAACTTACTAAATCTCTGTTTTCTGGCTAATGAAAAAAAAAATAGGATTCTACCGAGTCTCCTATCTACCTACTCCAGGACTTCTGTGAGGATCAAATGAGATGAGGCACGGGAAAATGCTTCACAGACATTTGGTTAAAGTGTAAAATATTTGCACCTGGCTATAAAACAAGTCATGTTCCTGGGCTGAAGAAACTGCAAGGAGGCTTGTTGTTGCTAGGGAGAGGAAGCTGGGTGTTGCTATGTGACATAGCTACCCAGAAAGACACTTAGCATAGTAGCCTTTTGTATATAGAGATGTAGTTTTGCAACTTAGAGCAAGGAGCCCATCTCAATTAGGCTCTCACCCTCTCACAGAAACTGGGAGATAGGGCTGCTGTCTTCCTAGATTTCAAAAAGCTGGCTCCCAGGTCCTTAGGAAAGACATTCCTGTGGCACAAAACTGACAAGCAGCTTATTTAGCTTCTAGAAAGATCTACAGACATTTCAAAGAGACAAAGAACTTACAATTACAAGTTTGCTAAAGTAAATGCTCTAAGAAAAGGGAGAGTGTGGAAAATCTATGTTTAACAGGGAGAATCACCCTCTATTTACCACTAGAGGCCCGTTGCAGGAAGATTCCTGCAAGAATAGGGCTTCCTGTGGCCAGAGCGAAGCAGAGAAGGGAGAAAAACCCGCCAACGATGGCTTCGCTCCCGCCTCCGCCTCCCCATTTGCTCCCCTCCCGCCTCCGCCTCCCCGCTTGCTTCTTTCTCCGCAGCTTCGCTCCCTTCTGCAGCACGTGGCTTCCTTCTATGTTGTCTTCAGTCTTCGCTCCACTCCTGCATATGCAAATTAACCACCATCTTTGTTGGGTTAATTTGCATACTCATCTGATTGGCTGGTGGGCATAGCAGAGTGACACCAATTTGCATGTTTCTCTTTTATTAGTGTAGCTGTTTTATTTTTCCTTACGGTTACCATTTTTCCTTATATGTGCCACAAGAAGGTCCAAGGGCTTGACTTTGCCTGGGCCATTTACAGCAGGGAAGCCCACATCTGCCACATGTGCATGCCAAAGCTAAACCCCTTTTCTCCAGACTCCCCGGCCCTGGTCTCTGTGCCAGTAACTGACTCGCACGTTCTCATTACCTCTTTTTGCAGAATAAGTATCGCCAGCAGAGAAGCAGGCTGATGTTTGGACTGATTCTGGAAGCAGAGATGAAACAAACTCTCTTTTCTAGGTAAAAGTGATCCCTAAAGGCCAGATTCAGTTCCTGCATAGGATGGGAATGTGAGCCAATCTATTTGCATAGGACAGGATAGAGTGATCCAAAAACTGGAGGAAACTGGGGCCAGCATGTGGCAGACACCAATCCTGAGCACAGAGGATGTAGGCAGGAGTGGGCCTAGAACAGTGGTTGGCAAACTGCGGCTTGCGAGCCACATGCGGCTCTTTGGCCTCTTGAGTGTGACTCTTCCACAAAATACCAACTTAAGCGCATGGGCCGTGAAGTTTCAATCGCACTGTATGTGCACGACCACACGTGGTATTTTGTGGCATTTTGTGGAAGAGCCACACTCAAAGTGCCAAAGAGTCGCATGTGGCTTGCAAGCCACAGTTTGCCGACCATGAGCATAGAAGATAAGCAGGAGGAGGGCATCCAGTTCAGATCACATGCTTCCGTGAGGTCTGGAGTCTGGAAGGCAAGACTAGAACCCCTTTTATCCTCATCAATAACCAACATGCCAAGTCATTTTTGAGGGTTTAACTCAAGAAAACAGGTTTACCTTACCCTGACTTACCCCAGCCAACAGTCATATTCACTGTGAGGCAAAAGCTTACAATGACTTAGACCAGTGATGGTGAACCTTTTGAGCTCGGCGTGTCAGCATTTTGAAAAACCCTAACTTAACTCTGGTGCCGTGTCACATATAGAAATTTTTTGATATTTGCAACCATTGTTGTGGACCAACATTCTCAAGAATAAGACCACCGACTCCAATTAGGTCTTAAACAGCAAGCGAGAATTTATTGAGCTGGCCAGCAACTACAGTTACAGCACCCTGCCGCAGCAGAGGCTGAACTGCAGTGCCAATTACAGGAGTTACATTTTATTATTAAATTCTGTGGAGGCCCAGAGAAAAATGTGTCTTTCAAATTCTGGGCCCCCCAATATGGAGGAAACTCTCTTTATTTATACTTTTCCAGTCCTTTGTCTCCCAAATTTTTTTTTAATATATTTTATTGATTTTTTACAGAGAGGAAGGGAGAGGGATAGAGAGTTAGAAACATCGATGAGAGAGAAACATTGATCAGCTGCCTCCTGCACACCTCCTGCTGGGGATGTGCCCGCAACCAAGGTACATGCCCTTGACCGGAATCGAACCTGGGACCCTTGAGTCCGCAGGCTGACGCTCTATCCACTGAGCCAAACCGGTTAGGGCTGTCTCCCAAATTTGGAATAAGACTTCCATGCCTTCTTAAAAAGAAGGCCTACATGCTGGGAAGGGGCCATGAGACCATATCTTAAGGCCTGGGCTGATATCAGTACCTTCCTATCTATGTGTTTTAGGAACAGACAGCACAGCATGACTCGTCTGGCCAAAGCGCCAGATATGCAGCCCAGCACACCATAGTAAAACAAAGATTTACATTTTTTATATTTATTTTATATATTAAATGCCATTTAACAAAGAAAAATCAACCAAAAAAATGAGTTCAGAGGTGACACACGTGTCATAGGTTCACCATCACTGACTTAGACCAAGAAGATCTACATTAGGGACCTACCAAGGGCTTCATCTGGTGCCGGAAGCCGGTCCATCCTTGCTGCTTGACACAGTCGCTGCCAGGAAGAAACATCTGCACAGCATATGTTTCAAGGGACCTGGGGTATATGGCATACTGTTCTTAATATGTTTGCTCCCCTTCTTAGCACTATGTGTTTTAACCAAGGTCACCTCTCCGAGAAAGGTTGTTTCCCCAGGTGGGGATTTTTCCCTGGAGTTAGGGAGGGAATAAAACCCCTTAACTAAGTGCCAGGCAGGTAATTAATCACTTTAACTACAAACAATCATGCTTAAACTACATAATCTTTACTTAGGATAATCTCCTTCAGTTACTTCCTTGTAGCTTAATAGAACAATAGAGTAACCTTGGAATGGAGATAAGAAACGCCCTAACCTTTGGAATAGAATGGATAGGATTAAAATCAACTGGTATAAATACAGATGTAATAGGACAAAAAACACAGAACCTGGCTGGAGATCCTGGATAGAACCAGGCCAGAGAACCCAACCATGCTGACCAATTGAATGCTGCCTCCGTGTCATTCCTTCTTCGCCGACTCCGTCCACACCTTTGGGAACCCCTGGACCTGCTGGGGCTGGACCCCAACAATCTGGTTGGTGGGTGGGTGACAAAGCCTGAGCCCTGAATCATCTTTCTAATGTGTACAAAGTCCCTAACCAGCACTGGCCCTCTCCTGTCCCCTGGTTTCCTCCCCTGAGTGCCATGAAGGACCAGGAAATAGCTGGGGTTGAGTGGGATTAAGACAAGAGGGAAGAAGAAGAAAGTAGAACTTCATGCCTAATAAAACCTGTTCCCATATAATTTATTTTATGTGAGGAAGCAGGCACCATGGTCAGTAAAACGAGGCCATTATAAATATTTACCTGGAATATAATGAAGACAAAAAGGCTGCATTCACCTGGAAAGAGCAAAGTTCATGAGAACTGTCCATGTATCCTGGGCCCCTAAGTGACTCCATACTGCACCCTAATACCCAGACCCCTAACCCTTCCTGCACCCATTATGAAGGTTGGATGAAAGGAGGCTCTCACTGCCTGCCTCCGTTAGGCCTTCAATATCTGGTGTAACTAGGACCCTAATGCCAGGATTCTTGCAACCAGGTTCAGGGAGAGGCAGGGAGCAAGTCTCTGAGCTGTTACTTTTCCAGGTTCTAGGCAGCCTGGCAACCTCTGGTCATTTATTGAAGGACGGGGCTCAGATGCGGTAGAAATCAGGAACTGAAGACTTTCGGGACCATAAGGGGTCTAGCAGCCCAGCGAAGCCTCCCAGGCTGGCCTTTCATATGTTGGCCACCGCCTTCCCAAGGTCCCGGTCCAGAAAAAGGGAAACTTTCCCCTCCAGAAGGGGAAGACCCAGTCACCCCCTCTATCAACCAGCTCTCCAAAAGGCCTGGAGGCCTGGGGAGTGTCCTCATCCTTGCTCCCTCCAACCTGGAGGCTCTTGGCCCCAGGCCTCGCCAGGAGGTTCAGAGACGCTCTGCCACATCCATCCTCGCGGCCTCACCCGGGCCAAAGGCCCCTTCATCTTCCCACAGCAGCTCAAACCAGTAGGCGTTGCCCTTCCCCATTCTGCTGGGCAGCTGGCAGGTTGGGGCTCGTCTGGGGCGGAGACTTGGGAGCGCCTGAAAGTAGCGAAGGGGGCGGGACCCAGACCCATCTTTAAAGACCCAAACTGGCCCTAGAGCTTCTGCACTCCCGCCCGGGGTCTTGAGAGGTCCCGAGAATCGCAGAACCAGGCTCCCCCTCGCCATGGGCCGCTACCGCATCTGCGTGGCCACCGGGGCCTGGCTCTTCTCCGGGTCGTTCAACCGCGTGCAGCTGTGGCTGGTCGGGGAGCGCGGGGAGGCGGAGCTGGAGCTGCAGCTGCGGCCAGCGCGGGGACAGGTCAGCGGGGGCAGCTGGGACCCCAATCCCCGCCGGGCTCACGGCAGGAGGCGGGGTTGGGAGAGAACGCGCCCATTGGGACTCCCAGGAGTTGGGACGCCTGCCTCTAAGCGGGGAGAGGGTCGGGCTGGGCTCAACCCCTTTCTCCCTCCCTGACCGACCGTGGTCCTCGCAGCCTCCACTACTTTCCCAGTTGACCCCAGGCCACTGTCCTGGGATCAGTGGTCAAAGGGAAGGTTCTCCAAGAGCGCAGGCGCAGTGAGAGCTGTGAGTGGACGGGGTAGGTGATGATGCTCAGTGTTCAATTCAAGACACTCAGGGCCGGAGAATCGAAGATGGCGGCATAGGTAAACACCGGAGACTGCCGCCGTGGACAACCACTTCAAAAATACAACTAAAAGTCGGAGCGGACATCAACCAGAACCACGGGAAGGCTGGCTGAGGAGAGTCTCTTCAACTAGAAGCAAAAACAACAGCATTCCGACGCTCAGCGGAGGCGCAGTGTGGAAAATTTAAAGGTACGGCGGTGCGGTGGTGAGGGTGCGCGCGCAAAGCGGGCTGGCGGCTGAGGGAGCGATTGTCGTTTTCAATCAGGAGCGAGTCTCAGACTCTGGGCTACAGATCCGGGCGAGTCTCTAGGGACCCAGACTCAAACGGGAGAAGCGGGACTGTCTGGCTACGGCCCCTCCGAGGTTTGCAGCGATTGCTGGGACAGAGAGGCAGAGCCCCTGGGGACGGACTGAGAGCGGCCATAGCGACTCCCTCCCCCCGCCCTGTTGAGCCCGCCCCGCCCAAACCCTGCGCACAGCCATTTGCCGATCGCCTCAGGCAAGGGCTGGACTAGCGCCTCCCCAGAGGACTGAAGTTTTCCCACAGCTGATTTCCACAGCCAGTCGGCCTGGTGGTCAAATCCCTCTAGTGTTAACTACAACAATTAAGGCTTGGCTAGAACAAGACTGCGCACAGAGACCACAAGGGGGTGCACCAAGAAAGCATAAAAGATGCGGAGACAAAAAAACATGACAGAAATGGAGGATATGGAGCTAAGAATCGCAATTTTGAGGGCTTGCCATAAATTTGTGCAGAGCCTCACGAAAACTAATGAGACCCTCGATGCTACGATAAAGAAATTAGAAAGTAAGCATACACGGACTGAAATAAAGAATATTATACCCAATAGCAGACCAGAGGAGCACAAGAATCAAACCAAAGATTCGACAAAAAACACCCAATTGGAAAAGCAAAATGAAAAAAGAATCCGAAAGTGTGAAGATAGTGTAAGGAGCCTCTGGGACAGCTTTAAGCGGACTAATATCAGAGTCATTGGAGTGCCAGAAGATGAGAGACAGCAAGATATTGAAAACCTATTTCAAGAAATAATGGCAGAAAACTTCCCCCACCTGGAGAAAGAAATGGACTTACAGGTCCAAGAAGCGCAGAGAACCCCAAACAAAAGGAATCCAAAGAGGACCACACCAAGACACATCATCATTAAAATGCCAAGAGCAAAAGACAAAGAGAAAATCTTAAAAGCAGCAAGAGAAAGAGGCTCAATTACCTACAAGGGAATACCCATACGACTGTCAGCTGATTTCTCAACAGAAACTTTGCAGGCCAGAAGGGAATGGCAAGAAATATTCAAAGTGCTGAATACCAAGAACCTACAACCAAGATTACTTTATCCAGCAAAGCTATCATTCAGAATTGAAGGTCAGATAAAGAGCTTCACAGATAAGGAAAAACTAAAGGAGTTCATCACCGCCAAACCAGTATTATATGAAATGCTGAAAGGTATCCTTTAAGAAGAGGAAGAAGAAGGAAAAGGTAAAGATACAAATTATGAACAACAAATATGCATCTATCAACAAATGAATCTAAGAATCAAGTGAATAAATAACCTGATGTACAGAATGAACTGGTGACTATAATGAATCAGGGACATAGAAAGGGAATGGACTGACTATTCTTGGGGGAAAAGGGGTGTGGGAGATGCGGGAAGTGACTGGACAAAAATCATGCACCTATGGATGAACTCAGTGGGTGGGGAGTGAGGGTGGAGGGTGGGGTGGGAGCTGGAAGGAGGGGAGTTATGGGGGGAAAAAAGAGGAACAAATGTAATAATCTGAACAATAAAGATTTAAAAAAAAAAAAAAAAAAGACACTCAGGGCCTCGCCCCGCCTTCCTGTCCTCCGGGTGCAATGGGCCCTCTGAGACCCACCCCGAGGGTGTTGGGAAGAGGCAATGCTGTCCCTGGAGGCCTTGTCCCCAGACTCCAGAGGGGACCCCTCATCCCAGTAAACGTCCTCTCCCGGGTCCCCGCTACTAAGTCCCACCGGGTTCTGTCCCCACAGGTGGAGGAGTTCGAGCAGGACGTTCCCCAGGACTTGGGGCCACTGCAGTTCCTGAAGTTGCGCAAACACCACTCCCTGGTGGACAACGCCTGGTTCTGCGACCGCATCACCGTGCAGGGCCCTGGAGCCTTAGAGGAGGCCGCCTTCCCCTGCTATGGCTGGGTGCAGGGCGAGGGCGTGCTGACCCTGCCTGAGGGCACCGGTGAGGGGCCGCCTCAGGGAAGTGGGAGCAGGGACAAGGGATTAGTGGGGGAGAGGGCAGAATTGCACTGAGGCTTGAAAAAATGCGTGCTCAGGAGGTTAAGGGTGGGCCAGAGAGAGATGAGGAAAGTTATACATAGAATTAAAAAGGCTGGAAGTGGGCCTGGACAGGGAAGTGAGTGATGTGTACATCCCTCCTCCCAAGAATGTGAGCAGAGGGAATGGGAGGTGCAGCCACACTGAGAAACAGAAGAGCCAAAGTAAAGTGGGAAGGAATCTCCGTGTGACTGGGAACCAGTTAGGGCAGGGACAGGTAAGGCTAGCACATGGGACCCCTGAGAGGAGGCAGGGAAGGGAAGCAATAAATGATGTGACGTGGAGAGCTGATTTGGC